GTCTCGTCTTCTAGGAGTTGTAGGGCCTGCTCGCGTGAGGTAGGCGCTCCCGCCGCAATGGCTCTGTTGAGGGAGCCGTGTCGTGTGGTGTGATATGGTTGGATGTCGCGCCGGACCGGGGGCATGTAGTCAAGGACCAGTTGGTCGTCGCCCAGGAGTCGATTGATCAGGTCGTGTGGCACGCCGATCCGCACCAATGCTGCCCGGTCCATGTTGCGGAATGTCGCCAAGTCGTCTATTCCGGCTAGGGCAACGAGCGGGGCGATCGCCAGCAAGGACCGCTGGTGTAGCCATGCTCGAATGTCACGGAACGTCATCTCGGGGTGATCTGTATCAAGGGCCGAGAGGGGCCAAAAATGGCTATGTAAAATGTATCAAAGGTTTGCCACACGTGGAGACAAAAGCACAATGCAAACAATCAAGGTGAGCAAAAGTCCGGGGGGATTTAGGGGTGTTTGGCTTCAAACACATGGTGCGCCTTTTGCTCTTTGCACGGGTGTCCTGACGTACTGCCAAACGAGGTTGCACTTCGGCGGCAGGTTCAGGAAGATGGGTCGTGCGAAGGCAACCGCGTTGGTCGGACCCTCCGGGCTCGCGCGGGACACGGACGCCCTTCGGGTCGTAGTGGTTGCGGTGCTGGTCGAGGTCCGTCACAGGGCGCTCAAGTGGTTGAGACGGTCCGCCCCCTCGAGGTCTTGGCAGGTCCAGAGCTTGAGGCGGCAAAAGCACAGGCCCATCACTCTGGCGAGGTCCGAGGACTCAAGGATGCGGGTGGAACTGGGGTCGTAGCGATAGCGCCGCATGTCGTAGAAGGGCGTGGCGGGGTGGTGGCGTTGTCGCTTCTGGCTGGGGAGCAGGTCGACTCGGAGTGGCTTGATGCGTCCCAGGTTGCGCTGGGCGACTTGCTCCAGCTTCTCTTTGGTCCAGAAGTATGGCAGTTTCTGAGCCGTCTGCATGTTGTTCCTGATCATGTCGGCCAGATAGGCGCGGGGGTCCTTGGCTTGTCGCAGGTCGGATGCGATCTCGTTGATGTGGACCTTCATCTGTTGGATGAGCTTGCCGGTCGTGTCCTCCTCCCAGCGAAGAAGGTAGAGCATGTAGCGCCGGTCGTCGTCGCCGGTGATGGCCTCTGCCCATTGGTCCGTCTCGTGTGCTCCAGCGGTGGCGCGTACCACGAGGCACTTCTGGGCCGGCACGAAGCGTTCTGTGTCGTCTTGGCCGGCTGCGGTCAGGGCCTCCCCTCGGGATGCGGCTTTGGCGTCACTGTAGGTTTTCCAGGGGGGGTATTGCTGGAGGCACTCGGGACAGAAGAACTGGCCGTGCTCGGTGATGTTGGCGGTGGCGCGCAGCCAATGTGACGAATGTACCACCGCTTTGCACGACTGACGTCGGCAGATAAAGTGCTCGTCGGTGGACGGGAGGACGCGGGTGATGAAATCGGTGAGGGGTGTGGGATAGTCGTCAGAGTCCAAGAACTCAAGGAGGGTCCCGGTGCTGTTTGCGCGCAATGCCTCGGTGAGGTGCTGCCTCTCCCATTTGTGGAACATGAGGAATAGGTCTCGTCGGTCCTCGGGTGCCAGGTTGATGAGGTCGAGGCACATGGTTTCGGCGAGGAACTTGGAGTGGTCGCTGATGAGGCGGCGCAGGTGGTTGTTGGAGGTTCCGGGGTGGATCTCGCGCAAGGAGTCCATCATGTCCATGTGGGTGTTCGTGCGGATGGTGCCGACGGCCTTGTTGGTCATGTAGTCCAAGCGGCGTCGCCATGCTCGTCGGCACAGCTTGCTGAACACCTCGAGGGTGAATGGCCGGCGGTTCTTCACGTCGAGGGCTGGTACCCTGATCCAGCGGCGGTTGACCTGGTCCCACCTGTGCACGGTGATGTAGGCGTCGTGAGCGTCGTCCGTCTCTGGCACCGCAATCTGTAAGGTCGGGGGGGCGATGGTATGGTCGCTGATCATGGCCGCGAGGTCGGGGTGCTCTGCGATGGTGTTGTACGGTGCGTGTTCTGCAATCAGGGAGTTCGGGTCGGCCAGGAGCTCCTCGAACTGGAACCACGGCACGCTACTGGTGTCGCAGGTAGCGCACCCGTAGCACGCCCCGACCCACTTGTTTCGCCAGTCGGTTTCCTCTGAGAAGCAGAGGGGCATGATGTACTGGGATTGGTATGGGATCTGGCAGAACGAGCACTGCAGTGTGGCTGGTGTTGGATTCAGGTTGTGCCAGTCCAGCAGCAGGTAGCGTGTCCGCGTGTCCGGCTCGGTGTTGGTCGACTCCATGAAGAGGTCGATCGCGTCCGTGGTGGAGAGGCGGGGATTCTCGGTGCGGAAGGTCTGGAACCTCGAGAGGACGCCGGTGTTGTAGGACCGCAGGAGGAGCTCGCAGACTGCGTCGGTCTCGCGAAGTGCCATGTTGTGCGAAGGGGGTGCGATATCGGATACACAAAAACCAGCCTGAAAATTCCTTCGGAATTGGAGGTGGCGCTTGCCGAACTCACGCAGGAGTCGGTAGTGTGCCGGGTGTGAGTCAAAGGGGGGGGGTTGGTCGGGCCAGGGGGGTGTGTCTAGGTGACTCGGGTCCAAGGATGGCCCGTTGATGGGGGGATCTGTACGACGCGCCACACCGGCACAAACGTCGTGTTAGATGACACGCCACACCGGCACAAATGTCATCCCGAGGGGTGGAGCTGTCCCTTAGGACCAACTCCCTGCGGTGTGAGGATGACCGGGGTCGGCCAGTTTGTCATCAGGGATCCGACCCGAAGAAACCGAGGGTAATCCACAGGGGATCCGAAGTGGGGTGAAAGACCGGTCGGGTTCGGGGCAGGCGAGTGGGGATTGGTCACCGCAGAATGGGCCTCAGCAGTGGGTCGGTTTGTCAAGGGGTATCCTCTCGAATCAAACAGGGGGGACGAAGAGGGTCGACCCGGGCTCGAGGCTCTCAGCGCTTTTGCGCGGTCCGAAGATGGATCTCTCTTCGGGAAAAGGGGGGCCTCAGGCGGTCGCCTAGGCATGGGTGTCACCTGTGCGGTATGAGGGTCATCGCCCTATTGCTGGCCCACCATCGCACGGGACATGGACTTGGTGGGTCAACTTAGGGTGGCGGGTTTGGAGACTCCTCGGTGCCGCCTGGTCAGTAGCGGGAGTCCTGGCTCTGCTCAGTCTTAGAGCTCCCGGTTGAAGCGCAGGTGTCCGTCGGGGCCGAGCAGGATGCCCTCGATGGTCGCCATGGTGCGTTGTTCGGGGGTCAGGAAATTGGAAATTGTCTCAATGATGGTCTCCCCGAAGGTGATTGCCATGTTGTCCACAAAAGGGTCTCGCCGGGAGGCGCGACAGAGCTGCCTCCCGAAGGTAAGCCAGGAACAGGTCAGTTGTTGTAGCATGTGCTGCCGGTTGGCGCTGTTGAGCAGCTGGAGTTGTTGGTGAACGTGTTGCTGGATAATCCAGCGCAGCAGGCTCCTGAGAGGTGTGACCTGCGTAGTTGGTTCCACGGGTACAAGAAAAAGGCCCCCGAAGTCATTGCCGTACACATTGGTGGGGGTGCGCGAGAAGATGCCGTAGTTGGTCAGGTGCCATTGCAAGCCGATGTGGTCGAGGACGGAGGGGAATTCCGGTAGCAGTTCCGGATTGATCAGGAAGGTGGCATCTTCGTGTACCCGCGCGCGGATGTGTCCGGCCCGCTGGGTTGACAGCAGGCCTTGTGTGCTGTCGTCACGGTCGATGCCTGGCGGCTGGAGCCACTGGACTAAGTCGTGATGTTGGTTGGATGGTGTGGGGGGTGCCGCCTTGGATGGTGTGGTGGGTTGCGGGCGTGGTGAAGGCATGTGGTGCGGGACGGGCCCGGTCGATGTGGTGGTCGCCTCCGGGAATCGGGCCTGTCTGGGAGTGTCGCGAGCCGTGGGTGTCGCGAAGTTGACGGTCCGCGGTGGTGTCATAGCTCGGGAGTATCCCGGTTGTGTGGAGCGGCCTCGCTGCTGTCGGGGGGTGTTGTTCCGTTGGCGAGACGGGTTCAATGTGCTTGGCGGGCCACGTGGTACCGCGTATGGCATCTGGTAGGTGCACGGATCGGGGTACCGAACGTTCATGTGGTGAATGGGCGTGTTCCACTCGCCGTGAAGGTGGTCGCGGAGGATTTCAAAGGCCTCCCGCCTGGACACGAAGCGCCATTCACGGTGGGCTGTGTCATAGTGGATGCCCACGCCGGTGTTGGGTCTGGCATGGTGCACGAAGCGCAGCCAGGCAAGAAGGTCACCATGCAGGACTGAGTCGCTGTGAACATGGCGGCATTCGGCACCACTGTCGCAAAAGCCTTCTGGATGCCGGGCCTGTTGTCGAAGATGTCGGTAACAGATGTTGTCTCGCGGCATCCAACGCGCATCAACGAACTCCGGATGCAAAAAGGCGCACTGGTGGGCAGAGGCAGGTGCACGTCCCCTGCAGCCGGAATGGTTGATGAACTGGTTGCAGACCTGATTGCCCTGCAAGATGTTGCCCGGACCGACCGCCTCGGGCAGGATCGAAAGATGGTCCTGAAGGGCCCGGTACAGTCGTTCATAATCCGGGTCGAGCTCGGTCATTTCCATGAGCTGGTACTCCTCCACGATGGATGCGAAATTCGCTGGAGCAGTCATGGCGGTCGAGCAGGCAGGGCAGGTAGGTCGGAAAGAAAAGAAAAATTTGGCTAATTCGCCAAAATGGCGAACGGAGCATGACTCAAGCAGTGTCATCCTGCAGGCACTCAAGGTTCGAATCTGAGTGTGATTCAAATGCCTTCCGCTATCGGTTGTTACTTTTAACACAAGTGTTAACCGCAGCAGTGGAATAGACTGCCACATCTCGATAGATTAGGGCTTGAGCTCCCATTCTGTCAACCGTTCTTTCTTCTTCTTTTTTCGTCAACCAATTGCTTCCCCTGGGTGACCTGGTGGCTTTCTAGGAAAAAAAGATGCCTGAAAACCCATGGGAAAGTTGCCCCATATCTGAAGCTGATCGATTGCCGAGCCGCCATGTTCGGATCTGCTGATTCAGCGGCACCTTTCTAGCCAAGTCCAGCCACGGCGCTAGGCCCGGCAAAGGAAATGGGGTCCTGGCAGCGGAAATGACCAACGCCTCGAATAGGGTGATGTTTTTGGAATTTCGGAAGGTTTCTTTCAAACGGTTATGATGCTTCCCTGTGAGGCAAGGAGAGGGGTATGGAATGCGTCAGCAACCCGAGAATCTGACCGCGAAGCAGTCATCGGCACCTGTCCCAGACACTCCGAAATCAACACCCAAAAGAGCGGCGCAGGGGTAAGCTATACACATGCATGTGGGGATGTTGGAACTGACCACTTCTGCGATACCACTACTAGGTCTCCCGGGGAATCACCCCTCCCACTTTCCACAACTCTTGCGGAAAGCATTCATTCTTTTTTGAGGTAGCCACATTCCCTATTCAACCCCTATTAATAGACTAGCAAGGACCACACAATTAGATGATAGAACTCTTGCACGGTAAACAATGGTGGTGGTTCTATCAACCGCCATCGTTTTAATGCTGGCAACTGAATCCCAGGGTAAAGGAAAGCCAAGGGAACCATTGACACAGCCCAGACGTAAACTCATCCTGCTTTGGGTCACGAGTTCTGGCCATGCGACATCGCCAAATCCCCGGTCCGTGTGGTGTTGTCTGGGCCTCAGCGCGAGCGACTCGAGTGACTCCGCACTTTCCAGCTGCCAGCATGGCACCAACGTTGCTCCACCAAAGGACCACCTTTCGGGTTGCCAACACGCAGCCAACTCTGGATAATTGAATGCTCAGATTTGCGACCAATCCGCTGAAGCAGCAGCGCTTTAGCGCGACCAAACTAACTACCGGAGTATGGGGTGGAGCTTGAACACAATGGGTGTCTCAAAACGACCTGCACATGTTCCAAAGGCTGTCAGTCATACAATAAGGAAACTCTTGTGTCGTATACCTTCACGTGCTTTCGGGCACACGTCACGAATGGTAATTATGGCCCAGGTTATTTGAGCAAATACTTTCCCAACTTCTTCTTCTTCTTGCGCCTTGCTTCCAATGCGTGCTTTTCGGCCACGCATCGCGGTGCCGAAAGCACAATTGCGAATACTTCCCCAACTGGACAATTCGTGGTCACTGGGCTCGTCAACCCTGAAATCACCCAGGCAGCGATACTTTGCCACATGTCCGGCCAAAAGGGGGAGACTCCAGGCACCTTGTTGTTGCAAAATATGAGGGCCGACCGGCCTTCTTGACAGGGAAGGTGATCAGTAAAACAATGCGGGGTTTGCAACGGCCGGGCACGATTTGCAACTGCCCTTTCTGCGGGAAGGCGGAGGCTGGGCACCGATGAAAAAGATACATGCCGGAACTCGAAGAATAGGGAACGTCCTACGATTAATCCATTGGAAGGGTCCCCAACTGGAAAAACCAAAATTGAAAAGGACCAGCCCCAGGTTTCCCCGGCTCTCGACTAAGCGGCTTACCATTTTTTTGCTGGGGCAAACAACGGCAGAGCGTTCCGGCGGCCAGCCGCGCTGACAATTTCCCGCACCTTTTCCGGCCCTGCAACAAAGCGGTTGGCTTTGAGCGGAGAAAAACCGGCGGTTGCCATAAGATGAACGAACAGCTTACTTGGTGGCCGTGGCCTCCTTTGACATCTGATAAATTCCAGTGGCAGAGTTTGCAGCCCAAGCGACTGTGGTCCTTCAAGCACCTTTGGGCACCACTTTGCGTGCGAAACCCCGGGTGCCAACTTTACTGGAGCCGCTTCCCTCTCAAACGGTGCGTATCAGGGATTCCAGTCCGCACCAGTTAGCCAAAGAACAAGCCCAGGGTCGCAAGCTCTCCCAAAACCTGCTCCGGCAATCAGGGAACCAAAGCGAATCTTCCAAGTGCCATTCCCGGGCCTCCTGCACCGTGCTCTCCAGCCCTTATTTAACATGACATACTGTATCTCTTTTAGCTGGGCATACCTTGCCGTCCTTTTACACCGAGGGTAGAGGTGCCTGAAGCCTCCCAGAACCCTTCACGGGTGAACCTTCATTGACCCATTCACAGAAAAGGAAGACTCGAAGACTCCAAGACTCGGAGATTTTTAACATGCGGTCAATAGAAGCATGGGGCTCCAAGGCACCAAGGCTCCCCGCGCCCCCCAAGCTGACAAGCGAGTGGCACTGCAAATGGCAAGCCGCACCCTGCCACCACTCACGCCTCCGAAAGCGCAGGCTCTACAGGAATTCCAACTTTTTCCCTTCTGTGGATGGACGAAATCCTGCACCACCTAACCAAAAAAACACCTGGGATGATGCTTCCCCTGTGGATGCCAACAAACAATGGTTTGCTATGGTTTTAAAGTGGCGCGAATTGGATTTCGCAACCACCCACAGCAGTTCAATATTCTGAAGGCATTCACCGTAGCTCCGTTTCCGCCCCCGCCAATCTTGGTGCAAATACTCGGTTGCTTTCTGCTCCCCTGCTAAAAAAATAACTTTTGGTGGCTTAATGGCAAACCCATGGGTTAGCAAAAGGCTAAAGTCCTAACATCCAAGCAAAATGCATTAAAGGATAGACGATATGGTTCACATGCCGTGCTGCCAGTTCCCACATTTGGCACGCAAAGCGTTTTCTTTCTAGGAAGCTGTTCGTAGTAGTATAGTGGCTACTCGGCGGCTACCGTGCGCTGCACCATTCTATTGGACAACCCTTTGACCGGCAACCAAACTGCAACATTCATATACCGCCATGTAGGCCTAACACGGGAAGCCGCCACGCCTGCAGACTGCAGCCGAAGCTGCAAGTGTCGCAAAGGGGGGGGGGGGGCGCTTGGCCACGTGTGGAGGCCTCCTGGGTCGGTCTTTCATGCGGGATCACACCCTGGAAATTTCATCCAATGGGTCATTGCCGAATATAACATTGCCTTGTTGAAGATCATTGCGTCCCTGCTTGACATTTGCTTTAAGTCCCCTGAAAAAAAATACAAATCCAGTAGTGAAATCGATTCCCTTTAAAGCCAAGAGGGAAAAGTAAACACATATTGATTTCAGCAAATGGAAGTGTTGAGGGTGAAACAGCAGGGATTCGGCCGTATCCGCCCAGGGCTAAGCCAGCCCTCCCGTCTCGCCTGATGGTGGTAAACCGGTGGACCGAGTGCATTTCTGGATTCATGATGTAGCCTCGTGCGGAAACGAACCATCGGCGCCTGGCCCGAAACCTGGACCCAAAGAGGCTCCTTTAAAAGGATATGCGTTGTGGTCTTGCTTGTGTTCTTGTTAATTCTCAAGGGAGTCAGCCTCTGATGCTGGGTAGGCAGGTGGTTCTGTTCTGTGCATGATGCACTTGGGTGGGGTGTGCGTGTGTGGCTGTGCGTGTGCGCGTCGGACATATCATGCCTTTTGCGACACCAAAGTGGCCATCTTACAATAATCTTCGGAAGTTCCCACAACGAGTTTCCCTACCCAATTTGGCGCAAAAATGAGCCGGGCGCGCCTCAAACAGAGCAGGACGCGGGAGTATGTGGTTGGGACCCTTGAGCACCAAACCCAATATTGCAATGCCGGGAGAACACAGTATGCCGTGAACAAGCTACCCTCCCTCCCACCAACGTTGCACCTATGCAAGGCCCCTGGCCGGTAGCCTGCTAGTTGGCGGGAGGTTGCAGAAAATCCTTGATATGCTTCAAAATTCAACAGGGCACAGTGCATGGAACAAGTTTCCACATTGCTGACTTGCGGCATGTGTGTGTGTGTGTGTGTGCGTGTGCGTGGGCCTCTGTGTGTGTGTGTGTGCAAATGTGTTGGAGATAGCAATCAACATTCCGGCTGCATGGGTCTGGTGCCGGGGTTATGGTAAGGATTAAATTTGTGCATTACAGGAATGATGATTGCTCAAGTAAGTGACACGTAAGCCGCGCTCAAGCAAGATTCGGCATACTGTGGCAGATACGGCGCCCTGCAGACATCACGCGGTCCGAGGTGCCGCTTGCCATACAAAAAGAGGTGGATAACTCTGGGTCCATTAAAGTGACATGCTGACTGCCTGTTGAAAGAAGAGCCACCCCATAAGTACATAAATGAACCAAGTGATGCCAAACGATGGATAAAGGACCAGCTAAAATCGATGCCCACCCAGGCAAAACCCATGGCGCTCGCCCTCTCTGCAGGGTACGCCAAACCACCGACGTCATGAAGTTTTCGTCGGGGACCTCAGTACTCGGCTTCCCGAGTGGCAGGTTTGAATGAATGGAATCCCCAATGAAACAGTGCCAGGGTTCCGTTTTTTGACTACCCCAAGGTAGACTTAAACCCACAGGTTTTCCTTTTAAGGAAATCTACCACCCCTGGTTGAAGTGCACTTTGGGGTTGTCAAAAAATGGAGCCCTGAACAGTGCAGCTGTAAACCACCGACACTGCGTCCCTCACTACTAGGCAGAATATAGTTTCTTCAACTGCACCCGAAATTAGCACGCCACCCGCGGGGTCTCCATAGGTACTCAAGTACGTCAGTGTTGTTGTACCAAAAGTTTCTTCGGACAACATAAGGTCTGCCAACAACCCTCATACAAGACATTCAAACAACTTGAAGAGGGACTATAGAGCGCTTTTGGGCTGGGACAGCCCCCCACCCAAAAAACAATCAAACAAACAAACAAACAAACAAACAAACAAACAAACAAACAAACAAAAACAACAACCACAACAACAACAACAACAACAACAACAACAACAACAACAACAACAACAACAACAACAACAACACCAACAACAGCACCAACACCAACACCAACGCCAACGCCAACGCCAACGCCAGCGGCAGCGGCAGCGCCAACGCCAACGCCAACGCCAACACCACCACCACCACCACCACCACCACCACCACCACCCAACAACAACAACAACAACAACAACAACAACAACAACAACAACAACAACAACAACAACAACAACAGCACCAACACCAACACCAACGCCAACGCCAACGCCAACGCCAGCGCCAGCGCCAGCGCCAGCGCCAACACCAACACCAACACCAACACCAACACCAACACCAACAACAACAACAACAACAACCACAACGACGACGACGACGACGACGACGACGACAACAACAACAACCAAACAAACAACAAACAACAAACAACAACGCTTCGATGGGCTCTCACCGCGCGGTTTTTCGGTCCAGAGTTTTCTGTCTGTTCAATGCGTCTTGGGGTTTTTACGCCCACAGACGCTGCTTGTTTTCATCGATGTTCAAATATGCCCATGGGGCAATGATGATAATGTGTGCGTGAACGTGGATGCTGATCAAGTGGCAGGCATGCACGCAATGATGATAATGTGTGCGTGAACGCGGATGCTGATCATGTGGCAGGCGTGCACGCAACGATGATAATGTGTGCGTGAACGTGGGCGCTGATCATGTGGCAGGCATGCACGCAATGATGACAATGCGTGCGTGAACGTGGGCGCTGATCATGTGGCAGGCACGCACGCAATGATGATAATGTGTGCAATGATGATAATGTGTGCATGCACGCAATGATGATAATGCGTGCGTCAATGTGGGTGCTTATCATGTGGCAGGCGTGCGCTCAGTCATGAAAGTGTGCCCGTGAACGCAACATACGCCCACTGCTCCAAACCCGCGCGCAGGTCGTCAAGAATGGCCCTGAAACCCTTGTTTACAGTGGGAAACGAAACGCGAAAAGCGCGCGGAAACACCCCATCGGAGGGAACAACAAACAACAAACAACAAACAACAACAACAAACAGCACACAACACACAACAAACAACACACCACAAACCACAAACAACAAACAACAAACAACAAACAACAAACAACAAACAACAAACAACAAACAACAACAACAAACAACAACAAACAACAACAACACACAACAAACAACAACGCTTCGATGGGCTCTCACCGCGCGGTTTTTCGGTCCAGAGTTTTCTGTCTGTTCAATGCGTCTTGGGGTTTTTACGCCCACAGACGCTGCTTGTTTTCATCGATGTTCAAATATGCCCTTGGGGCAACGATGATAATGTGTGCGTGAACGTGGGCGCTGATCATGTGGCAGGCATGCACGCAACGATGATAATGTGCGCGTGAACGTGGATGCTGATCATGTGGCAGGCATGTACGCAATGATGATAATGTGTGCAATGATGATAGTGCGCGCATGCACGCAACGATGATAATGTGTGCAATGATGATAATGTGTGCGTGAACGTGGATGCTGATCATGTGGCAGGCATGCACGCAATGATGATAATGTGTGCGTGAACGCGGATGCTGATCATGTGGCAGGCATGCACGCAACGATGATAATGTGTGCGTGAACGTGGGCGCTGATCATGTGGCTGAGCATGCACACGTGATAAGCGTGCGTGAACGTGGATGCTGATCATGTGGCAGGCATGCACGCAATGATGATAATGCGTGCGTGAACGTGGATGCTGATCATGTGGCAGACATGCACGCAACGATGATAATGTGTGCGTGAACGTGGATGCTGATCATGTGGCAGGCATGCACGCAACGATGATAATGTGCGCGTGAACGTGGATGCTGATCATGTGGCAGGCATGTACGCAATGATGATAATGTGTGCAATGATGATAATGCGCGCATGCACGCAACGATGAAATGAGTGCAATGATGATAATGTGTGCGTGAACGTGGATGCTGATCATGTGGCAGGCACGCACGCAACGATGATAATGTGTGCGTGAACGTGGATGCTGATCATGTGGCAGGCATGCACGCAACGATGATAATGTGCGCGTGAACGTGGATGCTGATCATGTGGCAGGCATGTACGCAATGATGATAATGTGTGCAATGATGATAATGCGCGCATGCACGCAACGATGATAATGTGTGCAATGATGATAATGTGTGCGTGAACGTGGATGCTGATCATGTGGCAGGCACGCACGCAATGATGATAATGTGTGCAATGATGATAATGTGTGCGTGCACGCAATGATGATAATGCGTGCGTCAATGTGGGTGCTTATCATGTGGCAGGCGTGCGCTCAGTCATGAAAGTGTGCCCGTGAACGCAACATACGCCCACTGCTCCAAACCCGCGCGCAGGTCGTCAAAAATGGCCCTGAAACCCTTGTTTACAGTGGGAAACGAAACGCGAAAAGCGCGCGGAAACACCCCATCGGAGGGAACAACAAACAACAAACAACAAACAACAAACAACAAACAACAAACAACAAACAACAAACAACAAACAAACCACAAACACCAAACACCAAACCACAAACAACAAACAACAAACAAACAAACAAACAAACAAACAAACAAACAAACAAACAAACCAACAACAACAACAACAACAACAACAACAACAACAACAACAACAACAACAACAACAACAACAACAACAACAACAACAACAACAACAACAACAGCAACAGCAACAGCAACAGCAACAGCAACAGCAACAGCAACAGCAACAGCAACAGCAACAGCAACAACAACAGCAACAGCAACAGCAACAGCAACAGCAACAGCAACAGCAACAACAGCAACAGCAACAGCAACAGCAACAGCAACAGCAACAGCAACAGCAACAACAACAAACAACAACAACAACCACAACCACAACCACAACCACAACAACAACAACAACAACAACAACAACAACAACAACAACAGCAACAGCAACAGCAACAGCAACAGCAACAGCAACAGCAGCAGCAGCAGCAAAAACAACAACATCAACAACATCAACAACATCAACAACAAGAACAAGAACACGAACACGAACAAGAACAATAACAATAACAAGAACAAGAACAAGAACAATAACAAGAAGAAGAAGAAGAAGAATAAGAAGAATAATAAGAAGAACAACAACCACAACCACAACCACAACCACAACCACAACCACAACCACAACCACAACGACAACGACAACGACAACGACAACGACAACGACAACGGCAACGGCAACGGCAACGGCAACGGCAACGACAACAACAATGACAACGACAACGACAACGACAAGGACAACGACAACGACAATGACAACGACAACGACAACGAGAACAACAACGACAATGACAACGACAACGACAACGACCACGACGACGACGACAACAATGACAACGACAACGACAACAAAAAAAAACAAAACCAATAAACAAACAAACAAACAAACAAACGTACATTCAGGCAAGGGTGTCCAAAAGACCTCACAAGGCGAATGTCATGGATTGATAGGCGTGTGAACGCACGCCTGACAGGAAGGTTTCAACTCAACTTCCGACGTGTTTACCCGACTTATAATGGTAGTTCCAAATCAGGGATCATAATGTGTTCAGAAAACGGTATCCATCCAATCCATCCAAGCCGTTGCCTCGAAAGAACGGTTTACGAGAAAACCTGCGTAAGCAAGGGCCGGGGAAGCACAACTTCCATTTGCTTAAGCCCCCTGGATTTAAAAACATATTTCCAGTAGTGAAATCGATTCCCTTTAAGACCAGCAAGCGAAAATAAAGAAATGCTAAGCAAATGGATGGCAATCCTTCACGAAATCCACTTGTGGACGGGCAAGGCTCCCTTTTAACTCACTTGGCCGCTGTGAGCGGCACTCGGCATTGATTTTGGTGCGCTTCCACTTTGCAGCAAAACCAAAACATCAGAAAGAAAAAGAAGAAGAAGAAACAAACACATCCTTGTCCTAAATTCAGATTCCCTACTTGAAGGGGCAGGGTACGTCAGGTAAGTGGTTGGTAAGCCTGGCTACAACCCACCAAAGCCATGGTTACAAGTCTCCTAAGTGGGTGATAACCAGGCTTACTAACCACTTACTAAGTACCCTGCCCCTTTAAGTAGAAAGGGCCAATGAATCTTGGCTCCATCTGGCAAACATAGTGCCGAGATGCCCAGAGTGACGAGTCCCTTTACTGCGACGGCATACGGAGTCTCGGGGAGCGGTTAAGATGGCGGTTACTTCGAACATCTTCCAAAAGCCCCGTGTACTGCGCAAATCGCTGGATCTATCAACCTTACCCCTTAAAACTCCAAGCCCTGGGGAAGTTAATCTTTTACAGACATATAGCCCATGTTACCCAACAAGTTGAAAAGTTGTGTTTTTAAGAGGTAAGCAACCTTTGACCCAAGAGATCCCCCAGAGAGTGGCCTTCATGGGCAACACTCACCCGACAACTCGAATTCGGGCATTGGGCATGAGGCGTTGAACGGCATACCGTCCAGAAGCCGCAGACCCAACTGGACCCTGTCATCTATCCTTGACACCCCGGAAATGGAACCTTTGCCCATGGGTTGCATATGGCGATCCCATTTTGGGGTGGAACATCTATTCTTGGTTGACGTTGGGTTAGGGGAGCAAAAGTTCAAACAAATTTTAGCAGTTAAGTGGATTTGGAGTTCAACCACTAAACCACAATAAGCAAAAATGTAAAATATGTCCCAACAACAACCACCTATTTGCCACCTATTTTGATGTCCAGAGCCCAAAGGCATGGACAAAAAGGCGAACGAATCAAAGGACACCAAACTCCTCTGCAAATCCTGATCCCGGTGTTTTTCCCTCTGTTTTCTAAATCCTATCACCCCCCACAAGAAAATGTTCCCTTGAAAACATCCCCCCCCCTCCCCTAAGAAAACAGAGTAGCCTCAAAACGAGGCCTAGCCATGCTATTCCGGCAACAGAGCTTCAGCTACTCCCGGCCAAAGCTCGAAGAGGGGCACGGCGAGGCGGTAGAGCTCAACGAAAGTGGTGAGCTCCAAATTCCAAGGCACCAGCACGATGCCCTCAAGTCGCTCGGATCAAGGCACCCCCCTCCCTGGCCCTCAGGCAACCCTCAGTTGGCGCTTCGGATTGGTGGCTTGGATGCGCTTTTTTGTGGAGTTCACCTGGTCTTCCCCCTGTTGGTCCTTTTAGGACTCTTGCAATACTCTTGGAATATCCCACAGAGGTGGATCCACAAAAACCATATCAAACCGTTTTCGAGAGATTTGAATCCCTGGTTCTTGTAGAGGGTCAATGGGAAACTCCCCATCTCCAAACCGATCCAGCTCGAAGCTCACCTTTGCCCAAAATACGGCCTTCAAGCGCACCAGAAAAGGGGGGGGTTCGGATCCTACGTCAGCCATTGGGTTCTGGATCTCGTTTCCAGCAGGTGTGGGAAGCCACCTGGATCCTGGAGGTAACTTTCCTGGCTACAGTGGTGCTTCTGTGTGTCTTGAAATGAAAGTTGGACCGCCCTGTTCAATGTTCCAAAGCGTGGAAGCTTTGGACTTTCGGTCTTTGTCACAGCTCAACGGCGTCAACAAAGTACACACGGACAGTTCTATGGTTGGCTTTGGACGAGTCAGGCGCCTTTGCTTGAAAGTAACTCAGCTTCCACTTCATTGGTGGTTTGAATTGGTGGTTTGGCGCAAAAACCAGGAGGCGTTCCATTCCCCAAACCACCCATCCGTACCACCAATTGCCATCAACTGCGGGCAATCTGACAACGCCTGAAGGAACACGAGCAAATTAATCGCCTGGACGGGCCTCTTTACAGGTACCAACCTAGAACTCACGACGTCTTCGCGTTCGGAATGCCTGTCTCCAAATAGGAAGCCCCTGGACAGTTGAAAGGCAGCTGGCAAACCACTTGGGTCCCTATTATGAAGAATCTGCCGTTGAGCGCTTCCATATTCTAAGGGGTCCCCCGATGTTTTTCCAGAATGGTCACTGGCAAAACCTTCATTTCGGGCATCCAATCTCATCCAACCTTCATTCTGTTAGCAGCAACTAAAGCTGGCAAGCTGACGGGGCTGTTTTGTTTGCTTTGTTCTCTTCTACGCCCACTCTGGCTCTTGTTGGTGTGTCTGTGTGTGTGTGTGTCTTGCATTTGTTGAAGCAATCGTCCTCTCATACTTTCATGTCAGCTTCCATGGCACGGTGGAAGCCCTAAACTAGGTCCTCCAGTAGAGAGGTTGGAATAAGGGTAGCCTTTTTTTTCGTAGTCTATTTTAGTAGGGGAACCCTTCCCCAAAAAAGGGTAAAAGGCCACTACTGGGGGACCTAGTAAATATTGCAAGTGTGGAACACGGTGGAAACCCTGCAATATGGCAGGTGTTTTGGCAATGCCACTGGTCCAGCCCCACAAAGTGCGAAAGTCACCGTATTTACCGCTAAACCCTGTAAATTCCAATACAGGTATATCCACCGCAGGAAGGATCTTAGTGGATTTTGCCAACACACGTCCAAACTTTTCTGCATATTTGCCGGTCACACTCCCCGAGCAGATGGCCCAAGACAAAGTCCAAACTCTTTTTTAATTTACCCACTAAAACGGGTTTTCCCCAAAAAACAAGCTTAGAAAGTCCACCTGTTCTGAGTATGTCCCGCCTAAAATGGCCCAAGAACCCCGAAAAGCGAAACTCAAGTCCCAGAGCTCGGGCCGTGAGGTCCGGCCGGAGGCTCGGGAGCCTCGGCTGCGCGCCTTGAAGTTGAGCAGCTCCCAGGACTCGAAGGAGCGCTGCGCGGGCATCACTTCCGTGGTGCCCAGGGCCTGCGGGGAACGAGGGGACCGAGCCCTGCAAACTAACATGCGGCTGAAAAGAGCGCCCTTTCCCCAGAAGATTCCTCTAAGCTGCAGGGACCATCCGAGACTCTGTTCAAAGCCAACCGTTTAGCCTTTTGGGTGTCCCTTTTCGGTCCGCTTTTCGCCGCGGTCCCAAGAGTTGCTGTTTGTTTTTCAGTTCCTTTAGGCAGGCAAGAAAAGCCGTGTCTTTTTAGGGGACTCCCCCAAAATGGTTGTTCCCATTTGGCAGTACCATCAACAGCATACACACACACACCCATGCTGCTGCACCCCTCTGCAAAAAGTTGGTTTTTCCACTTTTTGTGAGTATTTTGGAGAACCCAACTTGACTTCCCAAAAAGCTGAAGTCCAAAGATCCAACCCAATAGCAGACAATTTTTAGGTCGGACCCCCCAAACTGGGTGGCCTGTGTCGCTTTTTCAGGCTGGTTTCCCTTCAAAAATAAACCAAACAGGGGTACACGCAACATGGATGTGTGTGTGTGCTCTTAAAGGACAAGCACCATTTGCGGCGGGGTCCCTTAACAAAGCACGCTCAAACGGGCACAGCCGTTTTGGGGGAGTCCCCTAAAAAGACACGGCTCTTCTCGCCTGTCAAAATGCAATATCTCGGCTCTGGGGTGCACTGCGGAGCGCACCCTTTTCTTGAGCCAAAACCACACGGAGTGCAATCAGCGCATTGGGCAATTATGACTATACATATCATGACTCCTCCTTGCTGGAAGAGCGTCTCTGTACACGCTCGCACAGCAATATAGGTAGCGGAGTCTGGCCAGGGACCTTAGCCTTCTAGTAGCTTAAGCTGTCCCTTGCTACGCTGGTTAAGGAAAACATAACCACACCTTCGCATGGTCTCAGACATCTGTACACCTGGAATGCTCTTTGTTAGAGCATCCGCCCTGTTGGACTTGCCAGGGGTATGCTCCACCCTCAGATGGTCCATGCTGACCCTTTCCTGCAACCACAGGAACCTCGTCTGGATGTGACGGGCCTTTCCCAGACCTGCCCGATTGACAGTTCCTTTTGCTGCAGTCGCATCTGATTGAATCAGCACCTGGGTCTCGACCGCAAAGTCCTCCAAGAGTGACTGTAGGCCTAGACCAACTGAACCTCCTTTGACAAGAGCATAATACTCCGACTCCCCAGTCGACAAAGCGATGGTCGACTGCACATTGCTGCTGTGCTTGAGCACATGCAACCCATACAGAGCAACCATGCCTGTTGTGGATCTCCTCGTTATTGCGTCTCCGGCATGATCGGAATCCACCTGGATTCGGAGCTTGCTCGGCTTGGCTTGCCGTGCAAAGACCTGACACACGTCCGGCTTCTTGATGAGGTAGCGACACAGTCGCTTCAAATCCTGCAAAGATGCCTCTGTAGGAGAAACCATCTTCCTCGCAAGATTCTTCACAGCGTGGCTGATGTCCAACCTGTCCTGTGACAGGTACGCTGCCCTCATCACGCATGAGCGATACAGGGAAGCCTGCTCTTTCGGTAGAGCTGGGCTCCGGGCTTCCTGCATCTGCAAATCAACGGACTTCTTCACGTCCGGTGTCTCCGCTCCCTTGGCATTCTCCATGCCAAGCTGCTGCACAAGCAAATCAACATGGCGTCGATCTGGCTCGATCAGGATCGCACTCGCTCCTTGATGTTGTTCACAACGAATGAGCCGGTTGAGAAAGTGGACCTCCTTGTGGTCTCCTTCCTCATCACCTATCGTCCCGAGCCATTTCAACTCGTAGGCACTGCGAAGCAAAGTATCTACTTCCTTCAGCGCCTCGGCGTCTCCTAACGCCATGAAATCATCTCCGTGCACCAGCACTCTTATTCCCAGTGTCGGGTGATAGAACACTGAGCCATTTGACTTTCCCCGGAGATATCCGGCTTTGATCAACAGCTGCGTGTAGTGCTGCTGCCATATGTTAGGGGCATCCTGTGTCCCGTACATCGACTTAGTCAAACGACCCACCATTCCCGGACTGGCGTCCTCGTCCGGCAACTGGATGTATATGCGGCGTTTGGGTACGCCATAGAAGTGGGCTCTTGATATATCCCAAAGTCCGATCTTGAGTGGTCGTCCTCCATGGGATACACGCTCAGTGGCCCATAGGCTACATAGCAGCCTCATAGCCTCTAAAGGCGGTGTTGACGAAAACAGCATGTTCTGAGGAATCCTTTCCTCTGGACTCTTCCGGGCCTTGATCTCCCGGACCACCAATCTCGACCTGAAGTTGGGATTGGCGGGGTCTCCCTTGTTGGTGTCTATCCAACGGGTGGTGATTGGACCCTTCCCGTTGGTCTCTCTGAGGCATTCCTCGAGCGGCACCTTCTCGTAAACCTCTTGCTTCCTAAGATAGTCCAACTCGAGCTGACGTGCCTCCCTGACTCGGTCTGGTGGCAAAAACCCACCATTCACGTCGTCCCAGTACTGCTCCACGTCTTCCGGCGTCACGAAGCTCTCCTCTGGGATTGGACCTGCAACTGCTGCGTCCAATGCACTCAACTGGCCACTCTCTACAAGGTGGCTCTTCAAAGTCTTCAGGACCGCTCGCACTAGCGCTGGCGGATAACGGGCCGCCGGTCTAGCGAGTCCTCCGATCAGGTGGATGTGCCGGTGCCATGGTTTCCCCGGCACATTGTTGGTGCATTCGCCCTCCAACAGTTGGGCCAAGCCTGGATGGTTGGTCATCCAGCCAGTTTCTTTCCGCACATATCCTGTGCCCTGCAAACCCCTCCGGTCCGTAGCGACCATAGCCCATCTGCACATTGGGCCTCGGACAGTGTACACGTCCGGTCTCTCAGTGAGCTCACGGACCTCCGGGTCTTTCCAAGAGGTAGCACTCCACGGTGCCTCATGCAAGAAGAACCTACCTGCCTGCAACTGCTTCCTGTAGAACCTACAGGCGGTATGCAAATGAGCAACTGCTCTATCCATCTTCTCGCGCCTCTTGTCTGGGCTCACCCTGTACTTGTTGATGTTCTGGAGCTGGGAGAATTGGTCACAAGGTGGGCTCCCTGTGAGCAATGCCGGCTCGACCTCGTCCACATACTCCTCGAGCTCTCGGACGTCCTCAGCCTTGCTGAGATCCCAGTAGGAACCGTCCGGTTTCTGCTCCTCAAGGTCTACCGCAAAGCCCGGCCTCAAGCCATACTGCCCGGCTTGGGCCGTGAACCGCTTCGGGCTGTAGATCTCCATGATATCAACAGCGCCCATCTCCACGCACAGCTTGGTGATCTGCTCCAGCTCGACCGCGTTGATCTCCACCTCCTGAGCCAAAAACGCTCTCTCTACTTTCCGTCCAACCATGGACTTCAACATCCTCTTCAATCGACCCAGTTCAAGTCCACCCACGTCTGGGGGCTTGTCCGGGGTGTTTGAAGTCTCGGCGTCAGCCGCCGGTTGAGTCTCCGTTCGGAGTTCTTCAGGAGATACTGCGGGCTCTCGCTTCTCACCTTGCTTCTGCTGCGTCTTCTGCTTGGCTCCGGGCGCTATATACAGCGCTCCCGGTCTCTTGATCTGCGTGGTCGGCTTCGCCTTGCTCTTTGGGCTACTCGATGCTGGCGGGTCTGCTGCTGCTCTCTTGAGTTCAGCCCTCTTCGCGGGATCCTCCACATACTCCATCACTTGTCCAGGGTCTTGCCTAGATCCTACTCCGGCCTCAGCGGCCGGCTCTCCCATGGCCTCTTGGGCTGGGAGATCTGCTTCCACTCCTACTTCCGCGGTCTCCTCTCTTTTCCTTTTGTGAGCTTCGACACGGCGTCGTCCTTGCTCATCATCCATCATGAGACCGACGATTCTCGCTCGGCACATCTCAGTGTGCGGCAACTGAGTGGATTCCCCTAGTAGCACGCAAGTGCATCCAGGACATCCATCAGTAGGTTGGTACTTCTCCACATCTGCCTTACGGATGTAAATCCGTCGCTGCTGTGGCGGTGCCATAACAGGCACAACCTGAGGCGGAACCTCAACCCGGTCTTCACTGACCAGCAGGTCCTCCACTCCTTGAGCAGGAGTTCCCGGGGCCCTCTGCCCCGGCGTTCCCGGCGCTCGCACTGAGACCTCCCACGGGTAGCCTTTAAGGCTTTCCCATCCTTGTGGATTCCATTGATCTTCTTCTGGAAGTCGACGAACACCAGTGCCTCTCTTCACTCCTTCTGAGGTCACAACCAGCAAAGTGCCAGTCCTTCCGTGGTGACCTATGTACCTGCCTTCCTTGAGTGGCCTAGCTCCTTCTCCTACCTCACGGTAATACAACCGCTCTCCTATGGCGATTGCCGGCTTTCTCCATTCTCGGCCACACCTCCTTTGTTCCGGTGTCTTCCCGTCGGAACCTCTCTTGTACCTGCACATCAGGTCTGCTGCATGCCTTGGAAACCAAGACAGCACAGGGTCGTCATCCTTCAAGACTCGACCCAACTTCTCCTCCAGTGAGGATCGCAGGACTCTCACCTGCCTTTTGAGTTCTCGGCACAAGTTCTCGATTGCGCCATTCGCCCGGTGGTCAGCCACCGGCGACTCCTGTGGAACATTCTCCACTCCTGCTTCCTTGGCCGCCTGCTCCTTCAGGGCAACGATCGAATGCTCACCATCACTCTTGAAGACTGCACGACGGTAACCAAGATGCTTTATAAAGTTCGCCATGAATTTGACCGCATATGGCGTCGGTCCTTTTGCGTCCACGAAGGTGGCCGCAACGGCCAGTGTCCGACTGTCTCGGATCACCAGGATAGGCTTAGTCTTCCCATCCTCCTTTCCATCTCGCGTCATCCATGTGTAGTCGCACGAGATTGTCGCGAGCTCATCGCTCGCCTTGTCCTCTTCGGGTCGTGAGCGATGCTGCTGACCCAATCCTCTGCCGGCAAGACAATGCCGACACCAGTTGCGATACTGCACGTGACCTGTTGCCTCATGCTCCGCAACCTCGGCCCTCGATGGGCCTCCTGGTGCTCTCACCAGTGCGGGCGGCGCGATCTCGCCGCTCTCATCCATCTCATCACCCTCGGGCACACCTGCGGGTCGGCCCGCTGGTGCCTCTGGGTTCCCTTGTCCGGCACCCACGGCATCATCTGCCGCTGCAAGTGGTTTGGCCGGACTTACGCCTCGCTGGACTGCCGTCCAAAACCCGAACAATCTTCCGACTTCAAATAGAAGTTGTAAACTCCTTTCTCTTGGTATATGGGCAACCAAGTCTTCTTTTGGGCTTTACTGGGCTTGTTGAGCAACTGCTGTCGCTGAGTCTGCTGGAATCAACTGTCCACCATTTTGATCAAGAACAGCCATCCTTCCATGGTTGAGGCATTTGTAAGCTGAAACCAACGGTTTGTGTACCGGTGCTAGTGGCCCTGTGACTTTACACCTGGAACCTGTTTCACTCTTACCTTGAAACGTCCCGGTTCCGGTCCCAGGGACCAGTTCCCCCGATGCTGTCTTGAACATCATCTGGGCTCCTTCCTTAGTGGGGATGCGGTCTTTCCAATCCACTGGAATAGCAGTTTGAGCAGCCCCCGTATCAAGGTTGAACCGAACCCAGTTTGGGTCTTTCGGGGACTCTCCCTGGGTGAATGCACCCAGCTCAAACATTCCCACTTCGGCCTCCGGTTGTTCTTCTTGGTCTCCAGCTTCGTAGTCGGCGTCCTCGAATCCTGCCACATGCTTCTGCTTGGAGCCAGACTTCCCTGAGCCTTTGGAACCTTTTCCATCCTTCTTCTTGCTCCAACACTCGGCCGCTCTATGGCCGGGCTTACCACAGTTGAAGCATGCTCCTGCGGGTCCTGAGCTGCCTGAACCACTGCCTTTACCTTTTCCTTTGCTGTCCTTACCTTTTCCTTTGCCTTTGCCTCCACCTTTGTCCTTTCCCTTACCTTTGCCTCCTTTCGAACCTTTCGAGCCTTTGACCAGCGAGTTGAGCACCTTCGTGATGGCGTCCACGTCCATCGGAGCGGGGCCTTGCCCCGATCTCGAAGCCCCACTGGACCCCGGTCGATGGATCGTCCCCTTGGCTCCCGTGACTGTTTCAATCAGAACCTCAATCTCCTGTTTCATTTCCTCGTAGGTTCCCAGCCGGTTCTTGTTCAGAATGAGGTGGCGCTCAATGTCGGTTGGAACCAGAAGTTCTAGGGACGTACACTTTATGTCCTGAGAGAGGATTTCCCTCTCGCCCCTTTCGTTCCTTCTGGCCTCATATCGGCGCATCAAATCATCTAGTTGTTCCATGGCCGGTCGAACTGCTTCCCAAGACTTAACTCTTTCGGGGTTGAGGATGGCCCTTAGGATGTTCCTCTTCCTACCTGCGGTGAGGGGGTCCCATCTCCTGTTAAGCCTTCGCCATGCCTCATACCCGTTCTTGGCATTGATGACCAGATCTTCGGACTCATGAGTAGTAAGGGATGACAACAACCTATACAGTTGGTCTCCCTTATCATCCAGTCCGGCCATTCCCAGTTCGCCTCCATGTTCCTCTTCTACCTTTTCAACAGTGATCTCCTCATCCTGATCAACTACCCATTCAAGGATTGACTGGAAACTGGATCCAAAGATTGCCGTTGTGAGGTTCACCACAGACCGGGCCCATCTACGGAAGTGGCCGTCATCATTGGAGAAGACTTCCGGTTTTCCAATCCCTTTGGTGTCTATCAACAACTTCCTATCGCCTTTCTGCAGGCTTGTAGCTAACCTACCAAGGTTCTCTGCCAAAGCAGCTATACCTGCCTGGCCTTGCCTAAGAAGTTGATTCTCCTGTGACAACCGCTCAACTGCCTGCTGCAACTCTCGCACTGTTTCCTCCATGCCTTATATCCGGTGCCAAGCACCGGGAGGTCAGTCCGCCTTCCCGGACTCTTCTGTACTATAGTACGACCCCGAGCTCGATCCGCTTTTCGGCTCCGGCGCCGGTTGATCGTGAAGGTGAACACTGCCCTCGGTCTCGCTCAGGGGTGTAGCCGGCGACGGAGTCGGTGGCGGAGGTGGCGGCCGCTTCGGCCGAGCCAGCGAAACCTTCGGCTCGCTCTTGGGCTTCTCGATGTGGGCCTTCTCCTTGAGCACCCACTTCGGTCGGAGGTGGTACCTTCGCCTCTATAGCCGCTTTTGCAGGAGGTGGCTTCACCTGAGGCTTCGCGATAGCCTCCGGTACTGACTTTGAGGTCGTTCCTACCGGTGCGCGCCTCCTTGCCGCCCCTTTTGCAATTGCTGCGGCCCTGGCCAACAACGATGGCCTCTGAAGGCGAGTCCTCTCGTCGCACGAGGAACACGGGTTCCCTAACCCGTCCAGTTGCAGCACACTCTGCTGGATGGCTTTGGCCACCGAGCCCGTTGCTCCGGCTCGGTATGCAGCTTCTGCCGATGCCGCCTTCCTGAGGCGGTAGTTCGAGGCCAGGTTCTGCTCGCTCGTCCCTTCACCGCGGGATGTCCTTGCCACCGCAAGCTCTTGTATGTTCCTGTGCACCGTAACCCGTCGGCCGAGAGCTTTGGCTGCCTCGGCGACCGGTGCCAGCAGCTCGGGCTCAGCGCCCGGTGAAGGCTCCTTTCCTTGGGCCTTTGTGAATCCCTTCGGCGGTGTCTTCGGAGCAGGGCTGGACTTAGGCGGGGACTTCGGTGGTGTCTTGGGCTGCACCCGGCGCCTCTTCCAGGGCGCCTGCCCGAAGTTCTCGATCTCCTCCTGGAGCTCCGCGGATGGCTCTTCCTGCTTCTTCTGCGCGAGCTTCAGGAGGCCTTTGAGGATCCTAAAGTGCCGACTGTTTTGGCTTCTCCTCTTGTCTTTGCCAGTCGCACTCTGCCACCACCGAGATCCTGACGACCTAGGCGTGTGAGCGACCTTGGGCTCGGGCTGGATCCTGCCCTCGCTGCCCCAATCGCCCCACACGCTCTCGTCCTCGCTCTGGCCCTTCTGCTCCAGGTCGAAGTCCGTGGCCTCGGGCTCAAACTGCTTCTTCTGCGGCGGGTGGAGGTCCTCCTTCTTGTCCTCGTTGGTGTATTGTTCCAGCTCCTCCTCCTTCTCCTCTGCCCGGCTTCCTCGAGCCGGTTCTGGGCCCCTGTGGCCACTTGGCAGAGCCTCTGGCTCTGAGGAGGGAGGAGATGCAGCCTGGGATCCTCCCCAGTCTGCTTCTGACTCAGCGGCAGGCTCAGCGGACAGGGTGTCTTCTTCTCCTTCACTCGGAGGGGCAACTAGCTCCGGCCTCTCCTTCGGCAGCTCTTCCGCTGCCCCGGTCTCCTCGACCGGCTCTGCGGCTTTGCCTTTGCCGCGAGCGGGCCGCCTCCACGGCGGCTCCTCCTTGTTGCTCTTGCCCCTGCCCTTCTTGCCCTTGCTCTTGCCCTTCTTGCCCTTGTTCTTGCCCTTGGGCCCCTCGTACGGCTTTCCAAACCAAATGGACCGTCGAGGCTCACCCGCTACCATCAAAATGCAATATCTCGGCTCTGGGGTGCACTGCGGAGCGCACCCTTTTCTTGAGCCAAAACCACACGGAGTGCAATCAGCGCATTGGGCAATTATGACTATACATATCATGAGCCTGCCAACAGGAACTGGGAAAAAGAAAACAACTTTTGCAATCACAGCTAAAAGCTGACCAAAAAGAAACACCCGAATGCTCAAAGGCTGGCTTTGAACAGAGTCTCGGATGGTCCCTGCAGCTTAGAGGAATCTCCTTCTGGGGAAAGGGCGCTCTTTTCAGTTGTATGTTAGTTTGCAGGGGTCGGTCCCAGTTCCATTTATCGCTTTCACACAAGGCACAAGGGTAAACGGGTCCAAGTGAAGGACCTAGGCATCCTTTGGGAAAAAATAGATGACACTGATGACGAGAAACACACTGAAACCAGGCTGGCGCTAACAGATTGTCCCCGCACTGTGATACCAAAGTGAGATTCTTAACCCGTTAGTTGAATCAAAGGGACGTGCCAAGGCCAACTTACAGAAAGCGGGGCCTAAGAGTGAAACTCTTAGATTCTGGTCCAAACCTTCATGCAAAAGGATGCCAAACACAAATCAACAGAGGGCGCGATTTGAGGGACCTTCAGGCTGCGGGCTGAGCAGGCTCCCCGCACAACAAAAAGACCGAATCATCCTGTAATCACTCCATGGCTGTGTCTGTGTTGAGGGTCTGCTTTTTAGTTCTTGTTTTAAACAGGAAACCACCAAGCACCCATGTTACAGATCTTTTTGGAGACATGCCCGTTTTTGCCAGCCGTTCTTTTGACGCTTGATTGTGGAGTCTTTAAAGGAGGGTGGTCCAAGCAGGCCCCCTACGGAACCCTAACAATTGCCGGGGAACTCCAAAGAAACTCTCAACTACCCCTCAGATGCCCAGTGGCCATGGGAAAAAAGGGCATCCGTTTTGGCTTGGTTGAGCTTAAAGGGGAACCCTGCCGCAAAAAAAGGAAAAAGGGCGCCACTGGGCAACAGAGACCCAATCCCCTTTGTGCCTACCCCCCTGGGGAGTCCGTGTCACGTGCCTCGCCCCGGGTCAAGAAGCTTTCGAAGAGGAGCATCTCCGGCTCCCAAAGCGTGAAGTGCAGCCTGCGAAGCGGCGATCTGTTTATGGCCAGCTCCGTTTTCCGCTTGGGAAAAAAACCAAGAAACTATGTCCAGCGTGTTTTCAATCCCCTTCAAAACGCACAGGGGAATATGAACCAAGAAAATGAGTAAGCAAATTGAAGTTTAGAGGAATCTCCTGTTGAACACATGTCGCTTGACAATGCTGATTTGCATGGGGAGAGGTTTGAGCAATTCTGGCACAAGGGTAGACATCTGGAAACCTGAGACGACGCCAAAGGAACCCCAAGCCATCTTCTACCTGATACCTTGATCAGCTTTTGAAGGCTCAAAGCAAGCCGGAGAAACACCGTGACACTTTTGTAGAGACTGCGCGCGGTCTTGTGCAACTGATCTAAGCCTCAGGTCAAACAAGGGATTGTCTTGACCAGGGAACTACTGATAAATACACTCAGGAACAGCGACGCAGGGCCAAGGGATCAAAAGCTGCAACGTAGGCAGATTCAATCGCAAGGAAGCCGCCTTGGATTCAGTGGGGGCTAAGCCGAAGGATTATCCTCCACGCAACCGCAGGGAAGGATTAGGCACCTGCTTGACCGCCAGTCGCTCAGAAGCAACATGAAGGCAGAGAACAACCCGAAAGGGGCTCCAATTGCAATTTCCGAAGCACCCCCCCCGCTCTTATTCCTGGTTTTGGGCATGCCGCCTCTTAAACGTGTCAGCCAAGGGGCCATGACACAATGGGCTTTCGGGTTCGATGACAATCTGAGAAACGGATCCCCCCCAAACGAGCCCCCAGACCCCACCCCCACCCCACCCCACCCCCACCCCCACCCCACCCCCACCCCCACCCCACCCCACGCCACCCCACTCCAGCCCTCCTGTGCAGCAGCACCCGCCGCGACCGCACGTTGGCATGCAGCTCCCCGGGCGCCAAGCCCGTGGCTCTCCGCGCCGCGGCGGTGAAGTACCGCGCCCCGAAGGGCAGCAACGCCGCCAGCCCCACCGTCCTATAGCACGACGGGTGCTGGAAGACCGTGGGCCCGGAACCGGGGGGATTTGGCGGGCTGCGGCTCACTAGGTCCCCCAGCGATTGGTGCAACCTCTCTCACCCCCTTTTTTGGCTGGGAGATTCGGTTCCCCTACTAAAATAGACTGCAGAAAAAAAAAGGTAGGTACCAACATATTCTGACTTCTCTACTGGAGGACCTAGAAAATTAAATCACCAGGGGATCGCAGGTTTTAGTCCATGGTTCCACTTGGGTTCAGAAGTTCCAGCCATCTGTCTCTAGTTTAGAAGTCCCAAATTGTAGAAAGTTTGTTCAATTTTTGCCAACCATTTGTGAGGTTGTTCTCTTTGCGCCGAATCTTGCAGCCGGAGCTCTGTTAAACCCTGTCTGATGCATCACCACACCCGGTGCACACCGAGCTGTTGAAAGCAATCCCTCTTGTGGCCTCCTAAGATACATTCTCGCAGAGCTTGCCTTTTGGACACACCCCGCGAAATACCGGTCAAGAATTGACAGGCACCCTCCCTCGCCCGGAAAAAACAAACTCTGTGCATTTGAGGGGCCAATTTTGCTTTTCCCAGGCTAATTCATCCCGAGCATGCAGTGGGGAACTTGGGAGATAGCTCAGGTCCTGCGCTCCAATCTTGGTTGACGTTGGGTTAGGGGAGCAAAAACTCTCGAATTTTAGCAGTTCAGTGGATTTGGATTTCAACCACTAAACCACCATAAGCAAACATGTGTCCAATGTTTCCCAACCACCATGCAATTTGCTTCTCAACCTCCAAAACCTGATGCGACCCGAGCCTCTGAAAACGACAGCTTTCGAAAACATCCCTGTGGATGGGGACGCGAAATCCTCAATTCGGCACCTCCGTTCAGAAATCCGGGTTGGTGCTTCCCCTGTAAATACCAACGAACAATGGTTGGTTATGGTTTCAAAGTAGTGCAGGATTGCTAGCATGTTAGTCATGTTAGCTTCTTGGTCGGGTAGCTAGTTTGCCAGCAAGATTGCTAGTTTGCCAGCTTGCCAGTGGGTGGGTAGCTGCTAGCCAACCAGGCACCCAACTAGTTCCAGACTAGCTAACTAGCTAGTTGGGGTAGCTAGTTGGCTAGTTGAATAGTTGCTAGCCAGTTGGCTAGTGAGCTCATTTGCTTCTTAGCCAGCTAAGCTAGCGAGTTCGATAGTTCGATAGTTTGCTGGTTAGGTATCAATTAAATTTAATGAGTTGATAGCTACGTGTTAGCTAGCCAAGTGATACAATTAGCGAGCCAGCTAGCCAGGCAGCTGGCTAGCTAGTTAGATGGCTAGCTCGTTCGCCAGTGAGACCGTCAGCTCCTTTGCGAGAAATAGGTTGCAAGCTAGCTACTTCCTCGGTACTCAGCTCATTAGGTTGGACAGTTACATTCAAAAAGCGAGCTCTTGCAAGAGCAATTTGAACCTAGGTCCTCCAGTAGTTTGAGGTTAGAATAGGGGGTACCAACTAACCCTCCCCAAAAAAGGGTAGAAAGGCACTACTGGGGGACCTAGGAACAATGCAAATACAAAAATCGGTGTCTAACGGTCGATCCGGGGCCGTTTCTGTCAAGCTCACTCGTGCCGGAGAGCCGAATTCCCGCACAGGGCCACACTTCACAGCCCCGTGTTCCAATTCTGGCAACTTCCGGGTTTCCACACGCAGCGTATAGATACATATATATATATATGCAGTACACACACACACATATATATATATATATATATATGTATATATGTTATACTACGGACGTTCTTCTAAAATTGCCTTCGGTCAACCTGGGGTATTTCCTTGGCATCGGGCTCCGTCCTCTGCAGCCATACGTGGTCCAGCTGGTTCATGACCAGGAAGGACCTCTCAAAAAACATCGGCGTCTCAGAGTCACGAATCAGGGCCTTTACCAGCAGCTGATGCTAATGTCTATGTCGAAATGAGCAGAGCATAAATGAATCAGCAAATAAATGAATACACAAATTAATAAACAAATAAACTAGTATACACATTTAAGTTTCAATCAATAGTTGGCACACATTGAAAAAACATAAATAAACACATAAATAAGCATAATCTAATAAACAAATAAATCTAAACAAAAGCAAACAAAGCAATGAATGAGACCTGCATGGTTTTGCTCGTTACGTGGACATGCCCACCCCGACCGAAAGAAAGGCAATCTCCCCAGGTTGGAAACCGATGGCGTCGGCGTGGGAGGAAGGGTTGTACAAGAAACAAAAGCTGCCTCCAAGGGCTTCTTCTTTGGGCTACCCTCTCTCCCACTAACCTAGCACCTGTTGGAGGGTAGAGCCCAAACCAGAAAATGCCTAGGATTAGTTCTTAACAAGACTTGGTTGACGTTGAAAGGGGAGCAAAAAAATATATTTTAGCAGTTAAGTGGGGATTTCCCACTAAACCACAATAAGCAAAAATGCAAAATATTTCTCAACAACAACCATGAAGACCCCAGTGCAACCCTTGGCCCCGAAAAGCCGGACATGCAGGACAAGACCTGGCTTGATGCTGCTGGTCCCTGTGGCCCCTTCCATACCATAAAACAAACATGGATCTGGTCGATTGTCGTAAGCGAATATCATCAATTCCCCATCCCCAGTATTCCGTGCAGCCGTCTTGTCACTTTTTGTCTATCATATTTATTGTCCCTAAGTTGGCCACAATCAAATCCACACCAATCGGGGAATCCTTTTGTTTGGGTCATGCTGGCCTTGAACTTAGGACCCCTACCGGTAAAATCTCAAAATTTGCTGAAAGGAGCTTTGGCCACCATAGTACCCATATGAAGACTCTGACCTCATCTGCGCGCATGTCATGTCCATTTGCAACATCATGATTCATTCTCCTTTGCACGGGGCAAATCAAGTACATCGTTCCAGGGGCCAGAGCAAACATCGCTTGCTGAAGTAGGAGGGCTTGCGTGTTCAAAGGCCACGCCGTTTCCTTTGTTCCCAAAGGCCTGGCTGCAAGAAGCGCTTTGAGCTTTTGCTGGCCCCAGGGGTGAAGGCTTTCATCCAAGTACTCCATCAAATGTCCTGACGGAGATGGCCACTCTAGTGATAAGGCCATGGGTCAAAATCCAAACCGTACCCCCCAGTGAACATCCCAATCCAACCACTAAAATAGGTTCTTAAATGGGTGGTGGCCTACCAACCAAAATTGGGTACCAAAACGGTTTTGACATCCACAGCCAGAAGGTGAAATGTCGAATGTCAACAAAGGCCCCAGTTTTGGGGACAAGTTTGGCATGGAGGCGGTACCACTTTGTGGGGGGAACCAGTCCAAACAGTCCACCCCTGCTCAGCCTTAGCCCCCCCCTCCCTCCCGCTAATGGAACATCTCCATATCCATTCCTGGCCCATCTTTTGAGAACCTCAAGGCAACTTCCTCCAATTTCAAGGAAGCCGCATGCAAGTGAGTCCCCTTCTGCGAAGGGCTCCCTGCTTCTTGCTTCTTTGCTTCTCTTGTCTCCAAGTCTCTTGGAGTTGTAAAGTCTCCAGATTTTCAAAGGGTCATGGGACTGATGAGCCCAAGAAAGCAGATTATACGACAAATTTGATATAATTCTGCATGCCCACAGATCTTAATCAAATGGGGGGTCCCCAACTGAAATGCTCGACTCGGGAGATCCCTAGTCCCAATCCGTGGTGGGACATCCCTACAACAAGGGACACCACGACCATCTCGCACAAGAACATGGGAATGCCTTTGGGAAAAATCTATATATAATCTTAAAAAAAAAGTTTGAACAGCCCCGCCCCCTTCGAAATTGTGTTCCGCTCCTCCCTGCCAGACCACCAGGAGCGGCTTGGTCCCCACCACCTCCACATGAGTTCCACCCCTCCGGCCCCAACTCGCTCCGCCCAGGAGAGCTTGGTATAACAAGTGTGGATACGAATTGGTCTTACTTGGTTGACGTTGAAAGAGGAGCAACAAAAATATGTTTTAGCAGCTAAGTGGGGATTTCCCACTAAACCACAATCAGCAAAAATGACAAATATTTCCCAACAACAACCATGCTTATGCAACATGTCCCTTTGACCAAACAGTTTGGGGGGGCAGTGCAGAAACCAAAAAGCGCGGCACAAACACAAACCACCAAGCCTCTCAGATTCCGAGCTCCGAATTTCAGAGGGCTGGGGGGTTGGTTGGACCGGTGGACTTCTTGGAATTGGCGGCGTGGCCAAGGCAAAGCCTGAATCGAGCGAACTGAGAAATATCCGCTTTCTTTTGTCAGCCTTCACTGCCAACTAAAGCTACCAATAAGAAAAGCCGAAAAAGTTTGCCTTAAATCAAGGGGTCAGCTGTCTAGCTGTACTTCCAGTCTGACTCCAAGCCTTCTGTGGCAGAAAGGCGCAAAAAAGCAACCCAGCAGCCGAGGTAGTGACTTTGAGAGGAGCGATGGATAGCAAGAGTCATTGCAACTCCAAAGCCCAGCAATCTGTATGGCAAGGCAATCTTACATGAACCATCCCTGAAGCCAAACAACCCCCTGCCCCAAAGGATCCGTGATGGGGCCTGCTGGGCATAAAGACTGGCCGAACCTTTGAAAGATCCGATCGACACAATGGGAGAACCGCTCAGAAAAACCCAATCAAACAGACAAGTTGTTTTGCGGCTAAAGGTACCAATGAAAATTACATACTCACCAAAGGCTAAACCTAATCCAACCAACCAACTGACAAACTGTTTGTTTTACCAGCGCCATTGAAATACCAGAGACCGCTGCCTTGGGAAACAGAAGAAGGCAACCTGACTCCGTCTGCGTGTGAGGAAGTGCGTAATCTGAGTGAGGTTCACCCGACCTCCTCAATTGACTGGCCAGAAACACGTTAGGTGTTGTTGTCTTACTTGTCATGAAAGCTCGGAACATCAAACGGTAAGGTACTTCCTCAACGTTCCCCACTTGACGAAGGAATTTCGACGAAAGCCCAAAGTTCACTAGGACAACTTGTTGGACCCTTTCGTGCACCTCTGGTTGGGGAGCACCTGCAGGTACCGAAACTCTTAGGCACCTGGTACCTGAGGAAATTCCCTTGCCTTACGTCGTCAGCCGCAGCTTGAACAAATGCAGCCTTGCAACCGGAGTTTCCCGCCGCCAAAATCTTGCCCTGACTGCTTGAAGCATAAATCATCAGAGGGAACTGCGCCGGGGCTGTCGGCAACCGTTGTCCAATAGCTTGACCCACTCAGAACCCAACATGTCCCCAAACGAAGGCGCCTCTGGAGATAAAATTGTCCATGGTCAACTGTGCATTTCGATCCCACGACCTGCTAAGAATCACTGCAGTCACACTCCGGTCCATCGAAAAGAGCCCCTGGAGATGCTCTGGGCCAGTGGCAGTTCCTAGACCAAACCTGAAAAGGCAAGCGACAGACCGACCATTTCGGCCCGTGAAGCATGC